AAGTGGAAGTCCACACTGGTCATTTGCGCTCTGTGAACCTATCAGGAAGGCAATTACTTCTCTCACAGGCACAGCCTTATTGTTAGCAGAGCGCTAAACTGCACTGTTGTCGAAAAGTGGAAGTCCACACTGGTCATTTGCGCTCTGTGAACCTATCAGGAAGGCAATTACTTCTCTCCCAGGCACAGCCTTATTGTTAGCAGAGCGCTAAATTGCACTGTTGTAGAAAAATGAAGGTCAGGTTATTAATGAATTCTAACGTTTTCATCGCCTTGGTGAAGAAGATGGGCGCGCCAGATGAAGCCAGCGGCAAAAATGAATGCCACATTTGTGATCTGGGCAATAGGGGAATAACATCCCTACGCAGAGTTCTAGCGAAGAAGAAAAAAATTTCGAGTTCTTGGATTCGTAACAGAAGTGCAAACCGCTGCATTATCAATTATTCGTCTCCACCTTTGATTTTTGTTGTATATTTTTGATGTTGCTGCACGGAGCGTGAGATATTTATTGACCTTCAGAGGCTTGAGGATTCGGGAAGGTCTCAAAACATCCTCAACGAAATAAAAGACTCAGCTCCCTCTAAATGATTTATAAAACAACAAAATCCCATAAAAAATGAAATAATAATAAAATAAGTGGTGGGAAAACAAAATAGCACTCTAATGGTATCTCATTCATCAAGAACTATAAAATACGACAAGGAACAACCAGACAACCAAAAAAGAGCTATTGGACCTACCCTCTTCCTCAGTCCACTTGTTCCTGGTTTTTGCCCTTGAAAAGGCTTCGTCTGTACAATTTCCACTTTCACCATACCTGAACGAATCGACATAAGAATCGTAGACTACACCCTGAGAACAAAACACAGAACGTTCACGAAACCATGCATTTGTATTCGTCAACATGAAGAATGCGCAAGCGTTCGCTGTGCGGTGATTCACTCAAGTTAGTTTTTTTTTCTATAAAGGGAGGTGCAAATTTTTTGTTCAGGAAGAGATGGTCCTGTGAAGGGCTATAACCGCGCGACATGGCGGTAGCACGGTACTGAACGCTTCTGGCTATTACGTGGACGAGACTTTGAAAGACTACATCGACCTTGGTATGCGGAGGTAGATCCACGACGAAATATAAGACGGAACGAGATGCAGGGAGGATTTAACAACAAGAAACCCGCGGAAAAAAATGGTGCAGAGTTTCAGAATGTGAAGAAAACTGGAAAATGACCTCTAAGTTCGTAATAATGAGACCAGCAGTAACATCAAATCGATAGCTCCCACATGGCACCGTCACCCGTTGTGCACTTTTGAGTTTCGTCGCAAAGGTAATCAAGGAAACCACATCACTTTACAATGACGCTCGATACCAACCGAAAATCATAAAAGTAAAAAAAACCACAATCAAAGACTTGAATATGCCAGCCTCCGTCTTGATAAGATGCCAGCGCGCGCTATGGTGACCACATGGCAGTGATGCTTGTTTACTGACCTCTCCAAACGTTAAACAGGCCTGCATGGAAGAAGAGGCGCAAGCCGAGTATGTGTAAATCGTCGTGGGCGAACCTCATCAGCAGCGGTGGCCAGAAGTAATATTTCAGCAGACAATCAGACGGTTATGTGTATCCCCCTCGCTCGACAATAATGTTCTGAGAAAATTCGGTTAGAGGGCTAGTGTGATATAGGGAGCTGTTGTCCCACCGTAGTGGTAAGATGTAAAAGAGGTCCCCCGATCTATGTTGACAAAGCAACACCGGAATTGGGTTAGAGGCCTTCTGTTAACCGGATATTTTCTCGCCGCGAGCCTCTAGAGGTAATTTTTCACTCACCTTCTACCCGAGCATTTCAAGGGGGAAAAGAAGAGGAAGAAAGTAAAACCAGGAATGAGAGGAAAGAAAGAAAAAGGTTTCGCGATTGGCGATATCCCAGCACCCCGGATTCGGTGATCAGGATGGTGACGCAACAAACCACCACGTGCCGAATGACGCTACGACGGACAATGATCATATCACTATTACTACATGACAAATGATAGGAAGGTGGGGGAATTTAATGTTACCCAGCGAAGACTTAACATTAATCTCTAAGAACGTTCCTTTCGGA